AACCCCATTCTAGGGAATTATCCAACTGAAACTGTTGATACATTTCTATCTATCTGGGAAATATGTAACTATATACACGGTATACAGCTCCATTCTAGGGGATTATGTAACTATTGATACATCTTTATGTATCGAGAAATATATAACTATATATACGGCATTCAGCCCTATTCTAGGGAATTATGCAACTATAACTGTTGATATATCTCTATCTATCCGGGAAATATGTAACTATATACACGGCATACAACTCCATTCTAGGGAATTATGCAACTGTAAATGTTAATACATCTCTATCTATCCGGGAAATATGTAACTATATACACGGCATACAACTCCATTCTAGGGAATTATGCAACTGTAAATGTTAATACATCTCTATCTATCCGGGAAATATGTAACTATATACACGGTATACAACTCCATTCTAGGGAATTATGCAACTGTAAATGCTAATACATCTCTATCTATCCGGGAAATATGTAACTATATTCACGGTATAAACCCCATTCTAGGGAATTATCCAACTGAAACTGTTGATACATCTCTATCTATCCGGAAAATATGTAACTATATAAACGCTATAAACCCCATTCTAGGGAATTATCCAACTATAACTGTTGATACATTTCTATCTATCGGGGAAATATGTAACTATATACACGGTATACAGCTCCATTCTAGGGGATTATGTAACTATTGATACATCTTTATGTATCGAGAAATATATAACTATATACACGGCATTCAGCCCTATTCTAGGGAATTATGCAACTATAACTCTTGATACATCTCTATCTATCCGGGAAATATGTAACTATATACACGGCATACAACTCCATTCTAGGGAATTATGCAACTGTAAATGTTAATACATCTCTATCTATCGGGGAAATATGTAACTATATACACAGTATACAACTCCATTCTAGGGAATTGTGCTACTGTAACTGTTAATTCATCTCTATCTATCCGGGAAATATGTAACTATATATACGGTATAAACCCCATTCTAGGGAATTATGCAACTGTACATCTTAATACATCTCTATCTATCCGGGAAATATGTAACTATATACACGATATACAGCTCCATTTTAGGGGATTATGCAACTATTGATACATCTCTATGTATCGAGAAATATATAACTATATACACGGCATTCAGCCCTATTCTAGGGAATTATGCAACTATAACTGTTGATACATCTCTATCTATCCGGGAAATATGTAACTATATACACGGTATATAACTCTATTCTAAGGAATTATGCAACTGTTGATACAGCTCTATCTATCGGGGAAATATGCAACTATATACACGGCGTATAACTCAATTATAGGAAATTATGCAACAATATACACTGTATATAGCTCTATTTTAGAGAATTATGCAACTGTAACTGTTGATACATCTCTACCTATCGGGAAATATGTAACTATATACACGGTATATAGCTCTATTCTAGGAAATTATGCAACTGTTGATGCAGCTCAATCTATCGGGGAAATATGTAACTATATACACGGTACATAGCTTCAATCTAGGGAATTATGCAACTGTAACAGTTGATACAGCTCCATCTATCGGGTAAATATGCAACTATATACACGGTTAATAGCTCTATTATAGGGAATTATGCAACTGTTGATAGATCTCTATCTATCGGGGAACTATGCAACTATAAAGCAAGATATACCACACAATTAGCTACGTGCTAATTGCGGTCCGCCCCACTGAGATAACGGTGCCAAGGTTGCAAGGACAGGATTAGCCCAGGCAGGTGTGAGTCACACGGATGTTTCCTTTTAATTTCTTCCTCATTTCTTTATGAGACGTCTTGGTCAATGTTAAATCACTCATGCCTATGGACTGTAGACATACTTTCACATTGATGTGGCAGTGATTCAACTTATCATCAAATATATTGATTAGTTTTGTATATCGTTTGTTGGCCGCAGTCACCGTTCTGAGGAGATTAATAGAAAAGCCAAATGTCGTGAAATTTTGACAATTAAACAACTTTATTGACATCTCGTCAATCTTTACACTCAAAGGGAGTTTATAAGGTAATAATAATGGTAGGAATGAAGAGAGATATATACAATCGACGTAACCCTCTCCGAGGGCACGTCCGGATCAGGAGCTTTAAGCCGCCTTGAATCTAGACAGATCCCTGCCATTTGGGGAGTTCCTGTTCGGAACATGTTTGATGATAATGTCTAAGAATTTGTCGCCAAATTTGGTGGTTTAGATGAGGAAAGGGAAAACTAGAACGCAGCTGATTCCACACTCGCCTTTACACTGATACGTTAACTTATGAACAGTGGATTCTATGGCCACTGGACATGCTTCGGAACTGTAGGTTGTTGGGTACTGCGCTGCCTAGAGTATAGGAGCTCCATCTATGCTATTTTCATGTAGTGAATCTGTAAAAGACCGGTGATCTTAATAAAGCTGTATGTGTGAATATCCTTTGTTGGATGGAAGTTTATTCGAAACAATATTTCTTCATAAAAAGAGTGTTGAAATACGGGATTCGAACCCGGTTCTTGGCTGACGAAAAGAGACAGATTGTTCCATTCTTCCAACAATACTCTAGCTAATGTCTATTTGACCCACAGTGACCTTTATTGAAGACACACGAGATAACCAAATGTGAACAAATTTACCTCTGTCTCAAAAAAAAAAAAAAACTAAAACCGGTGACATCAAAGACTTTCCACTTCCTTATTTTTTTCCTTTAGTGCATATATATATATATGTGTTATAGGTATGTAATTAATATATAAGAAATAAAGAAACAAGTGTGAACAAAATTGCCTTTGTCTCCTAAAAAAAATAAAAATAAAATAGACGACCGGTGATATCAAAGACTTTCCAATTCCTTACATTTTTTTCCATTAGTGCATATACACTTATACAACACTTACATACAACACTAGTGCATATACACTTGTATATATATATATATATATATATTTTTTTTTTTTTGAAAATAGAGCAATCCATATTTAATTCATTAGATAATAAAAAGGCATATATTGGATTTATTAAAAGATTTATTTTGCCAATATTTCGGTTGGCTGAACGCCAACCTTTATCGAGGCATTACATTTTTTGTATACACAAACTCAGCGCCGCAGAGTGTTATAATATCACAGTTAAAATCCTACTTTGTATTACGATGCACTAGCGCGCCATCTGTTATCAAATTACAAAACTATTTTAGAAGCGTAATATTCTTTTTAAAATAAAACAATTTCTACTGTCCTTACTGCAATGGAAAAATTAAAGGGAGGGCCTGGCTCATCAGTGGTGAACCCTCCCAGCGGTTTCGCCAGTTGTATATTAACTAATTACAGTTAAGTACTTTATTACAGTTAAAATCCTACTTTGTATTTTAAATGATTCTAACTGTGATATTATAACACTATGCGGCGCTGAGTTTGTGTATACAAAAAATGTAATGCCTTGATAAAGGTTGGCGTTCAGCCAGCCGAAATATTGGCAAAATAAATCTTTTATTAAATCCAATACACCCATACCTCGCTTTGCGTCAGGGTTACGTTCCAAAAAAACACGACGCAAATTGAAACGACGCAAAGTGAAAATATGTGAAGGCGCAATCAAAAACAAAGGTGTTGACATATTTTAGGAAAAAAAATTCAAAAAAAAAATAAATTAAAGACTCGAATCCAAAACAACGCAACTTCGAAAATCTAACGTCGCACAGTGAAAATCATTAAAAATTAAGCAGCGACGCAACTTCGAAAAAAACTCAAAACGAAACGACGCAAAGCGAGGTATTGGTGTATATGCCTTTTTATTATCTAATATATATATTTGTTAAAGGTATGTAATTAAGATATACAAAATTATAACATAATATGCAAATAGGTTCTCAAATAGTTTATATACATAAGAGCAGCAGAGAGTGTTCACCAACATATATGAAACAAAGGGGGGAAAAGTGGACTACAAGAGTCTGTAGAGTCGACTAACTGAAAGTTGATTTTTCGCCCCATTGCTTCAGTTCAGTGGAGTCCATTTACCGGCTCATTACTTCAAATTGGGACAATAATAGATCATTAGCATCCCGCTCGTTATCAGGTGTCGCTGTTGTCATCGCCTGGGAACTTCCAATTTTTGATATCGTGTCTTCTTCTGTAAAACGACATTTTAAAATTATCCCGCATGTGTTTCTTTTGTACGAAAAAATCGAAATTTAAGGAGAAATAACGATTATTTCTAACCTTATGGATGAAGTATGATAGGATGAATTGTGAAGAGTAATGATGACAAAAGTTACTACTTTTGCGAGTTACCACAAAAAATGGAATATACTAGTGTCTAAAGTAAATGAAACTTATACACAGAAAAGCGTACACTCAAGAGTACAACACAAACAACAAGAAGGAAGTAAATAAAACTCACGATTGGTAAAATAAAACAAAACAGTACTTATCTTTAGAACTACATGAAAACTTTCTCCATTGAGTATTTAAAATAGTAATGAAAATTAAGGAGAAAAGATTTTTATTCAGATAAACGTGTGACAAGCTTTCGGGCAGTCACGCCCTTCAACAGGTCAGACCTGTTGAAGGGCGTGACTGCCCGAAAGCTTGTCACACGTTTATCTGAATAAAAATCTTTTCTCCTTAATTTTCATTACTATTTTAAGTACTTATCTTTATTGTAGCGTTGGTAGGGATCGGACTCGGGTCACACAGGGATGTGAAGAGTTCCACAGACACGGAAAAACCACGTAGAAAAACACTTTAAGCGTCTCCACACCAATTCTCCACGCTCTGGGCCCCCCTCGCATTCCCTTAGTCCCCTCTTATATACAGACATGGCCACATTCGTCCAATGAGAAGGCGTGAGAGATTGGTTCACTAACAAACGAAGATAACATTCTTCCCGCTATACTGATCAGAAAAAAAAACTGAAAATGTTTGTCAATATAATTTGACAATGATAAACGGAAAAATAGAGTATCCAGGGATAGAATTCGGACCCACAGTGTTCCGCTTACCTAGCAGATGCCATGTCCACTAGGCTACCATGGACATTTTTTCCGTTCGTAAATATAATACAAAATAATTTATAATATTCGAAACTATTATAGACTCGTATGATTCTTTTCTAAAAATAAACAATTTCCACTGTCCTTACTGCAATGGAAAAATTAATGGGAGGGCCTGGCTCATCAGTGGTGAACCCTCCCAGCGGTTTCGCCAGTTTAATCTACCATACCGCTGTTATATTGCATTTTTCGAACTTCCTTTTATAGTGATACTGTTGATAGACTCATTGAATGGGTATTTTAGATGAACTATGGGCATAAGCTTTGAGGATAGCATAATGCGGCTTATGATTGTAAATGTGATTTTGTTTTATAATCATAGGCCGCATTATATTGTATTATAAATGTATTCTTCTGTGTTGTCACACTTTGTTGTTTCTGTAGAGTTTGAACAACTTCGTGTAGATGCATTTCATGATCACTAAACGTAGATCACAGTAGATATTCTGTAGACTTCCGACTTAGCTTCTGATGAGATCGTTCCTAACACCAAATTCTGCAGCGGTGGCAGAGGCGCCATATTCATTGTACATAGTTCTATATGAAAAGAAAATAGTGCAAATGTGAAATTGTTGTGGGATAAGGTAAATAGATTAAGAAAAGGGCAACTCATGTACGTGGTTAACTTGATTAATCAAGAATGGATATTTGGCCTATTCTGGAATAATTAAAAATCAACAAATAGTTGATATTTATTCCGATAGATGGCGCCACCCATCAGCAAATTTCAGGATATGCCTTTTTTTATAGTTTTATATATTAAAAATAAAAAAGGCATATCCTGACCAGGAGCATATGTGCTTTACAGAAGGCAGAGCGCCATCTGGTGGAACAAAAATCAACTAAACATTGATTTAGCATTGTTTCCTGATATTTGGCCAACCCAAGTTTTATATATATGTCATAATTTGCCTAATGCCCAAGAGATATAATATATTTTCGCCATAATTAGTATGTTAAAATGTAAATACAAATTAATCCATCTATAAATCTGTACAAAATAAACGGGGGAGCCAGTGTGAGTGGGTGAATGCTACGACACGCCGCCGCGTGCACGCGCTCACGAGTGTGGAACAAGTTATTTTTCGAAGCTTACAAGCATAACTGCTGCGTCCTTCCATTCGACCACGACATATATATAATTAATTTTTAAAATTGTACAGACTGTGCACTTTTACATGTATTGACAATAAAATTAAGTCAATTGTCTAAAATTGAGAACAGATGTCTTTGATGAAGACCCTAATATAGATTCCAATATTTCTATTGGTTTGTAGTGCATACCTTCAATGTCGGCATATAATTTCACCTTTCTATCTAGTTTCTTTATTGATATTTTGTGTTTTTTTACAGGTCTATCGGTATATACACTCATGGACAACATTAAGGAAGTGAAAAGTCTTTGAAATCGCCGGTTATCTGTTTTGTTTTAAAGGGGACAAAGGCAATTTTGTTCACACTCGGTTATCTCGTATGTCTTCAATAAAGGTCACTGTAATATCTTTCAGTGTTATTATCTGAATCCCGATACACATGCTAAAAGGTACAACTTCCTTAAGTTTTGTCCATGAGTGTATATTTCAGAGTTATTGTCTGAATCCCAATATACATGCTGAAAGGTACAACTTCCTTAAGTATTGTCCATGAGTGTATATTTCAGAGTTATTGCCTGAATCCCGATATACATGCTGAAAGGTACAACTTCCTTAAGTATTGTCCATTAGTGTATCTTTAAGAGTTATTATCTGAATCCCGATATACATGCTAAAAGGTACAACTTCCTTAAGTTTTGTCCATTAGTGTATCTTTCAGAGTTATTGTCTGAATCCCGATATACATGCTAGAATGTACAACTTCCTTAAGTTCTGTCCATGGGTGTATATGGTGTTAATATTGATTGAGTGTATCTTTCAGAGCTATAATCCCGATATACATGCTAAAAGGTACAACTACCTTGTCCATGAGTGTACATCAGACATTATGACAAGGATGTGTCAACACATGTACCAGCAGAGAGCTATATATAGCGAGGGTCGGTGGGTAAAAGGGTTATATTTAGGTACTGTAGCTATTGTGGTCCTAGCGGCAATAACCTGGTGTAAGGCCACTTCCCTAATTGTGGACATTCTTTCTACCCACGGACTGTTTCATGTCAGAATCTCGCCCTCGCTTATCTACATCTTCTATTCTTTCATCTTTTATGATATCTTATTTAAGAATTTTCTTTTGTCTGATGATGGTAACAATGCTGGTGCCGAAATGTCACATGCTATTAAATTATTTGGATTAGATCTTATTTTCTTGTATTATAATCTATAATCCAAATTGTGCTCTATCAGATTATATTTATATTAACTCCGCCTTTGCCGGTCCCAAGCCCGTATGAAAAAGGAGGCGGGGGGAGCAGTAACAAGCTTGCTAAAAAACCTGGGTTCAGCTAGAGATACAAGATGAACAGAGTCTGTACCACATGTTAGGAGCGGCTGCACATGGCGTCTGTTCCTCATGTCAGAGGCGGCCCTTTCGTTTTGGAGCTAAGTCGGCCAGCTACTGAGTATTGGTCCCAGTCTTAATGACAAAGGCATTCTACTTCACCCAGTCATGATAGTTGTCAAATGAGATAAGAAAGAATATCTTTTATATTGATGCTTCTCTCATATCAAAATTTTATCTTTTAAACTTTAGCCATCATTCAATCTTCTTCTATGCAAAAAAAAAAAAAAAAAACGTTTTGTTTTACATATACCAAATACACACACGAATTTATTAAGACTACTAGTCTTATACAGATTCACCACAGTAAGGAAGCATAGATATACTCCAGACAGCACAGAACACAATAACAGCCTCCAGGTCCGACACATATCCAGTGGCCACACCGTACATAGGTTAGCGCATCAGTGTAAAGACGAGTGTGGAATAAGCCGCCTTCTAATCTTCGCTTCCCTCATCCAAATGGACCATGACATTTGGCGAATCCATTAATCTCCTCCGAACGGTGACTGCGGCCTTGTAGAATTTATATAAACCAAAGAGAAGACCTTCATCAGACATCATTGTATTTATCCAGTTATATATTTGTTCACTATCGGATTGAGACTAGGATAAGTTACCAACGAGTTCTTTTCTGTTTCTCCAAGCAAAGGAAACCGAATATTGTATACCTCTACCAATGGCTATGATTATCATGGTAGGGGTAAGTTAACGACAATACTGTAAGTGTACCATATGTAAACACATCTATAAATCAGTATACAACATATAAAAAAATCCCCTTAATCACACACAGCCTCAATAGTACATTAGCATTAATTTTCAAAATAATATGACATATAAAACGAAATTTACATACAACATAATATTCATAAAAAAATTTCATATAACCACATATTAATTAGAATTAATATTTCCCAAATTGTGCAACCTATATGTAAATCTAAATATGTTAATTATTCAATCAGGCCAATATGCAAAATAATAGCTACATATATAAAATGTAATCTCAGATTAGATGGTTAGTCGTTCATTAATTCCTGTAGAAGGGCGTATGAGCCCGAAAGCTTGTGTTTATAATTATGAAATAAAAGATACGCAGCCCTAGATGCTTTGTTTTAACTTATTTATGTATTTAAAAGGTTTTTTTTTATTGATATTAATTTTCCAACGCAGTAAGGACAGTAGAAGTTTGATTTATTTGTAAAAGAAACATTCGCGTCTTAATGTCTTTATTCGTTATATAGAGATGGCGTGTTATTGTTTTGTATTAATTTATACCTAACACTTCTTATTGTTTGCGGAAGAGCATTGCCCGATGCAAATATATAAATGTAATTCTTTTGTCCCAAAAACTTATGTACATAGTTTGCTAAAATTATATTTCTAAGATTCCACCCTTCATTGCAGCATATAAAGGCAGAATGATTCAATACAGTATTAGAGCTCTAAAGAAGTGGTAGATTAAATTTGGCGAAACCACTGGGAGGGTTCACCACTGATGAGCCAAGCCCTCCCAATATATATATTTCCATCGCAGTAAGGACAGTAGAAGTTTGATTTATTTGTGAAAAGAAACATTCGCGTCTTAATGTCTTCATTCGTTGTATATAGATGGTACGTTATTGCTTTGTGTTATATTGATTAATATTTGCATATCTATCTCTCATATTTCCTACTTTTTGTATGTATATACATTTAAAAGGAAAGGATTTAAAAGCACGGATGTTTCTTTTATACACAATACAAACTTCTACTGTCCTTACTGCGATGAAAAAAATATATTGGGAGGGCTTGGCTCATCAGTGGTGAACCCTCCCAGCGGTTTCGTTAATTTTATCCACCAGACCGTTTCTCAGAGCTCTAATACTGTATTGGACGATTCTGCTTATTTACGCAGCACTGAAGGATGGAATCTCAGAAATGGTTTTCAAGAAGACTATGGACATAAGCTTATAGTGTATTATGTATAAAAGAAACATTCGTGCTTTTAAATCCTTTCCTTTTATATGTATGGATGGCGCGTTATTGCTTTATGTATATACATTTGTTTAATTTTCCAAGTTTTAAGTACCGTAGTTATACCTATCAAAGGGCTGTTACACCTGAAAGCTTGTATTGTTGTTTTATAAGAATAAACTCATCCATCAGCGAATTTCCTTTTATTTCTAAAAACCTTTTGGTTTTATTTATTACGTGATGGGGTAACAGGCCATGATAATCATAGTGAAATTTGAAACTATTTTAAACGCGTAAGATTCTTTTTGAAATTAAACAATTTCTACTGCTCTTACTGCAATTGAAAAATTAATGGGAGGGCCTGTCTCATCAGTGGTGAATCCTCCCAGTGGTTTCGCCAGTTTAATCTACCATTTTTCCATTGCAGTAAGGACAGTATAAATTGTTTAATTTCAAAAAGAATCTTACGCGTTTAAAATAGTTTCGAATTTTGATAATAGATGGCGCTCTAGTGTATCATAATCATAGTGA